GGGGCTGGCTGGCATGTGGTGCTGGAGGATCGAACCGAGGTCCCTATGCTTTGCCAAGCTTGTTTCAAGTAGGTGCTTTAGACCACTGAGCCATCTCTCCAGCCCCTTAATGCAGACTTTGGGAGATAACCTGTTAAAACTTTCATCATGGGAGTGGATTGACCCCCTCTTGAGGGCGGAGCCCTGAGCACCTGTCCCACCTCTTGGTGTCTTGTAATGAATATAGAACCTCAACAAAGCCTGACCCTGTTCAAACTATCACAGTGGTGGTCATTTGGGGGTACACTCTTAGTTCTTTGATATTTTGGTATTTTAAAAACATGTTGGACATAGGTTCTCAGCAGTTGCAGGACCTGTGTCTTCGGTTCCTCTGTGTGTGTATAACTCATGATGCCCTCCTGCTGACTCTCTTGTCTGATGTGCTGCCCTGCATGCTGCTACCATTGGCACTTAGCCTCCAGCAGACTCCTTTTAGACCTTCATTATTCTAGTTACTTCCCACTGTCCTTCACAGAAATGCCATTTCTGTGTGGGAAAGCAGTTCCCTACGTTGCATCAAGCCCTGGGCCCAGTCTCTGGGTATGGCAGGCAGCCCTGTGTGGTCTGACAGGCACGTGTGTGGGGCCTGCTTGACCACCACGTGTGAAGGACGCACAGGAGGGTCAACAGGTATTGCTGAATGGGAAAAGACCTGTGCCCTTAACCTGCTTAACTACTCTTGGCTTTGGCCTCTTGGAGCCTGGGTCTTTCCCCCATGTTCTTCACAACACCATTCCGCACCATCTACCTGACTGCAAGGTGCCAGGAAATGAAGTGGGTTGATTTGCTGGCTGGGACTCCAGCCTGGGTCTTTACCCAAGGTTCCTGTATGTTTTGCAGCTCTTGTAAGTGATGTGAAGCCCCACTCCATAGACCTAGAATCTGACTGTAGATCCATGTGTGTCATGACTTTTTGAAGAGCATGCCTGTGCTGCCTTGACTGGACTCTACAAGCATGGATAACCTGCCTCTGCCCACAGCAGTCTTGCCCTCACCTCAGCTCAGGCTTCTTGACTGTAGAGGAGAATGCAGTGGAGCTGGGAAGCGAAGCTCTGCCATCTGCGTGCCTCCCCTTTGGCTCGTGGACTCTGTATGTGGATTCTGGACCTAGCTTGTAGCCTGGGGCTGTTTCTCTGTGCTACAGGCTCCTAGTGTCTGATGGATAGCACGAGTAATGCACAAAGCTAGCTTTTGCTGGATTTCCAGCCCTAGCACCTTGAACAGCTCGCCCTGTGGGTGGGTTACATCTAGAACCTAGAGGCATTCCTACCTCCCTTCCCAATTCACACTTCATCCCTTTCCTTGTCTGATGTGGACAGCCTGTTACCTGTTTGCTCAGGGGGTGGAAAAGAAAAAGAAAGGGGCAGGCTGCCCCAAGGAGCAGTCACCAGGCAGGACTAGAAATGTAGAGGTTCATCCTGGAGGCGTCATTTTCTTAAGTTGCAAGCAAGGCTAGGCTGATCTAGAAGAAGCATGTGGACAGAGGAACCCTGGCTTTGAGTTTCTAAAGAGGAAAACTTTCCATTTCTTTCACATGTAATGAGGTGTCGCTCAACAGTGGGTTGATTTTCTGCGAGTTGTGTCACTCACCAGGCAAACACCATAGAGTGCGCTTACACAGGCCTGGGTGCTACAGCATTGCCCCCAGACCACAGGCCTGTGGAGGTGCGTTACTCTGTAGAACACTGGGAAGTTGCAACAGATGGTATTTACACCTCCAAACAAACTAGAAAAGGCAAAGAGAAATCTCGGTAATAGGAGTTTCTCAGCTCCATTTATTAATGTGATGGGCCCAGTGTTAATATGCAGTACGCTGTGAAGGAAACATCATTATGCAGCCTGTGACTGTAGTTCACAAAACTTCTCACACACCAGTTTAGCAGATCCCTGATGAGCAAGCCCTAGTGCATTCCCATCATCTTCCCAACCCCTGCGTGTGTATGTATGCCTGAGAGATGGAGAAGATGAAAGAAGCCCCTGTGGAACAAGTCAAGTACCACCTTGCCCCATCTATAGGTGCTGGAGGATTGTGGTGTCTTCTGTGAGGTGACTTTCCATCGTTGGAAGTTCTAGGTCTTGTGGAATCCCTGCTGTGGTCAGTGGGGGTCTCTGGATCACCAGTTTGTGCCCAGTGAGGCAGAAGAGAGAGGAGCAGGGGTGCTGCAGGACACCTCTTTACATCCTGGTGCCTTTCTCTTGTACCTCTTCAGAGACTCCAGCGCTGCTGGCGAAGCCTCTGAGGAATCCTGTGGAACCCGCTTACTCAAGAACAAAGGTGGTGTTGAAGTTACAAAGATGACAGATTTTGGAACACTGAAAGAAGGTGGAAGTAAAACAATGGTGATCTGGATAGAGTGAGTGTGTGTGGAAAGTTTTAAAGAAAGTGGCATTAATCATTTTTAAACTGTTTTAAGGACTTCTGTAGAACCAACTATTTTGCATTTATTTTGTCCATCTAAAAATCGTTTTAAAAAATTTCACCCCAGATCCCCTTTAACTTAATGAGGGTATCTGCAGTTGTCATTCATGAGATTGAATTCTGTGTTTCAAAGTGACTGCCCATCTCAGCTCAGAGTTGTGTCTCTGTTTGACTCTTTTTCCAGGAATAAAGGAGATGTTCCTCAAGACCTAATCAGCTGCAAACTGGCTGGCTGGGATAGAACTCACCAGTTTAGGTTTCAGATGCCAGATGTAGGCCAGGCCAGCCCAGAGGTGTCTTTTGTTTCTGTTCCTGAGAAGAAACAACTTTTCTCAGATGAAAATGTCGGCTCGTTAAATAGTGATAGAAAAAGCAAAACCAACGAGACGCTGGAGGGAAGACTGGTGAACAACATAGAGGGTTCTCCAGGTAGATGGCGCAGCGGTTACCATCAAGGGCCAAGGGCCCTGTGAGCCAGAGGGGCCTGTGCCTTGCGTGCACTCTGTGCCTGAGCTCTGTGGCTTTAGACCCTTCTGCTCTTTGCTGTGGGGCTGAGGAGAGACACGCAGCTTGGCAAGGACCAGCATGTGCTTGGCGTGGTGACTGTTCCCCGACCAGAGGGTGCGGAGGGAGTGTCTTCTCCCAGTACTTCCTGGTCTGCGGGCGTGTCCTCCCCCGTCTGGCTGCATTCTCCATGTGTTTTGTCAGCTGCGTCTCAAGTTTGATCTGTGTGCATTTGAGTGCTTCTGTGTCTGTGAGCATTTCATTTCCAGCAAGCACTGTTGGAATAATTCACCTTTCGGTCTGACTTTAGACTTAAATTTCCTTCCCAGATGACAGTGCCTGTGAAGGGAAGAGACCACAAAAAGAAAACGCTCCATCAAAACAGCAGCAGATAGAGCCCACGCCTGGGGGCCTCCTCCCTCCAGGGGGAAGAACCTCCGTTGCGGTGACATGTGATGCCAGGTCTGCCACTGAGGGGCTGGCGAGGGCTTGCTTCAGGAGGACGTTTGTGGGTGTTCTTTTTAGAGCTTCTTTCTGGTCCTCCTAGGTTGGATGTTACAAAGACAACTGTCATTGTCCTCATTACAAGCAGTGGTCCACCTTCACCCTCGCCAGATGACTGACCTGTCTTTACAAAGAAAACAGTGTCTGTGATCCCCAAGGCCTCTCTCTCTGTCCATCCTCTCCAGGCATCTGGCCAAGACAGCACACTGAGTTGAGGGCTGGAAGAAAGGGTGGCACAGAGCTGCCTCCCCAGTCCAAATTTAGCACCTCTCCTCCCTCCCTTGGCACCAGCAGCCCTCAGGCCCAGCCCTGGTCCTCCTTTCCTAGCCTCCCTTGTAGGTTGCCATCACTGCTCAGACTGCTCAAAAGGCTGGCCTGCTGGCCCAACTGTCAGATTGACATTGGACCCTCAGCCCCCCTACTCTTATCAGTCATTTGTGTTTCTAATTCTCAACGTTTTAAAGATGTAAATCATTCATTCATATAGATTGTTTAACACAGAATCTTGCTACCATGGGCTGGGGAGATGGCTCAGTGGAATAAGCATTTCCCTGGCAAGCGCAAGGGCCTGAGTTCAATCCCCGATTACAAAAAAAAAAAAAAAAAAAAAGAGTCTCACTACCATATGTAGCTCAGTCTGGCCTTGAACACATTATGTAATCCAGGCTGGCCTCAAACTTGAGGTGATCCTCCTGCTGAACCTCCACAGTACAGCAGTTGCAGTCATGTGCCACTGCACCCAGCATAAAGATATAAATTTGATCAAATCATTGACTTGCTTTAAGCCTATCAATATCAAATTGTGGGTGACCACTGAACAGCAGTGCTTCAGTCAGCCTGGAGGATATGACCCTCTTAAATTGGAGATGTTGTGATAATGTAGAGCCACAAGTGCAAGTGAGCAGCAAACAAGTAAAAAGTAGTATATAGTTTTTGGTCATATATACAGTTCTGATTTAAACTTGAACATAGTGAGCTGGGCATGGTGGCACATACCTGTAATCCCAGTACTTGGGAGCCTGAGGCAGGAGGATCATTATGAGTTCGAGACCAGCTGGGGCTACAAAGTGAGTTCAAGGCCATCCTGAGCTGCATAGTAAGGCCCTGTCTCAAAAAGACTAAAAAGAGAATCACAAGGTTAAGTCCAGTGTAGGCAACTTAGAGCATCTCAGAAAGGCTTGGCGATGTGGCTCAGTGACACAGAAACCCTGCATCGGTCACCAGTACTGGGAAAGAAAGTAATGGTCTTAAGTAATTTTTTATCTTGGGAAAGCTGTATGACACTGCTCATTTTGGAAAGTGAGATTGTGTTTGAGAATTTTATCATTAAATCAAGCTTGGCTTATTTGAGAGCTCTAACTTTCTGTATACATACAAAGAGAAATTACATTGAATTTATCTTGTTTATGACTGAAACTAAATAAACCTCTTTTATTTTATCAAGAACCTCTGGACGCTGCAAGGAGCTGCTCCTTTTCTGCTTTTCTAACTTCCTCATTGGGCGACACCTGGAAGTGACCGTCGTGAGTGGTGAGGAGGCACTGATAGCTGTCCGTGAACCATTCTCTTGGAGAAAGCCTAGAAGTTCACAAGCAGTACCATCCCACAAAACGACAGTTGTGACCACACAGAAAAGGTACCTGCAGTGAAATGAGTGTGTAGCTTTTGCTGCATCAAAGACTCACAGAAGCCTTAGCCATGAGAGAAAAGTAGAGAAGTCCTGTGCCACCAGCCTGGCTGGAAAGTGGTATGAGTGAGGCTGGGCTTGGAGCCCTCTTCTTCCTGTGCCTGGGCTGGGGGCACACTTCATGGAACTCATGGGGCTGGCCTTCCAGCAGAGGCTCAGGGTGGCTGTCAGGGCAGGATGCTCTCCCTCAGCTCCTGTCTCCTTGCCTGTCTCCTGAAGACAGGACTGAGGGCATCATCACTGCCTCCTGGGGTGGGAGAAGGCACATGGCTGATGCGGGAACACTGTGGGGTCAGGGCGCACGTACCGTAGGGCAGGTACTGGCTTACAGAGCAAAGGAAAATATTAACAGAGAAGAGCTGTGTGTGATAGTTTATTTTTGGAGTAGCCTTTTGTTCAAATCCAGCACCAAAAAGCGAGGTGATCATGGGCAATTTTCTCAATCTCTCAGAAGCTTAATCTCAAAAAAAAAAAAAAAGCTTAATCTCCTTTGTGAATGATGGTCCCTACTTTGTGTGGGTTGAGGAATGAATGAGGCAGAGGGTAGGATCTCGGCTCTCCTGGCGCAGGATAGTCAGGAAACACAGAGGGTCCCTGCTGTCCTCAAGGGGCACCCTGTAGAGATGGACCCCAAGAGCAGGAGCTCACCGTGACCTGCAGGGCATGAGAGTGCCTGATGACTCACTCCCACTTGCAGGAGACTCTCGAGAACCTCTGTTCTCGCCGGTAGACATACTCGTCCCTGTGTAATTGCAGTTGGCGTGGCAAAGGGGTGAAGTGGACGGACTGACAGCTGTACTTGTGCCTGGGCTGTTAGTGTGTCCCTGCAGGCAAGTGTCCTCAAGACAGGGGCGTTGGCTTCCTACAGTCGGATTGATGACCCATCATGCCTGGTCTCAGTGGCCCTGTGCCCAGAGACATGGTTAGAGTAGACTGACTGTCAGCCGTTATGGGGCCAGCACACCGTGCCTGTCCCCAGCATCAGGCCACCCCAGCTTCAGTCTTACTCCCATCTGAGAAGATTATGTCCACATAGCAGGCCTCTGGCCAGCCTCTCTCGGTCAGGTCTCCAGCATCCTGCACTGTCAGTAGCCATCTCTGGTGGGTGAAGCATGTCTCCCAGACCACGCGGTCAGCACGGCCAGTGTGCCAGGTGGTGTGATTGCCCTGGTCTGCCTCCGTCTCATTTGCTTAGTCATCGCTACACTTAACACTCCTGAGTGTGCAATGTGTTATTATTGAAACTGACCTACCAATTTGATTTGAAACTGTCTCATTGCTATTTGTTTATCAATAAAATTATGGGAAAAAAATAAACTTAACACTCCTGAAGTGCCCTCTGCTTTGTGAGTATGCTTCGTGTGCATGCTCTGACAAGCCCTGTCCACAGATCACAGAGTAGACGCTAACTCTGCGAGGAAAGACATCGGCCTCTTGGTGCCATCAGGAGTGGCTCTGGGGTGGGGGCCATGTTTCCATCCATCACTGCTGAGTGCTAAGGTAAAGGACCCAAGGTGACAGCAGTGAAAAGGAGGCTGGGAGCATCCCTGTCCCTGCCTGCACTGAGACAACAGGCTGTCCCAGATGGACAACAAGAGGGAGGAAGAGCCTGTGCTTCCTCTTTGAGGTAGTACACAGACCTCTCTGACCTGCTTCCTTCCACCCATGTGTGGCTGTTGTTTCTGATACTCACGTCCTTACTAAACACAACAGAAAGAGTTTAGCTTATTAAAAGTTAAAAACAGTTGCCTTCAGACTCCCTGGTTGCAGCAGGCTCCTAGACTTTCCAGCCGAGCCAGAGCACAACTGGAGATAGGATCCAAACCTGGGGTGGGGTCCAAAGCACAGTTCTTGTGCCAGGCCTTTCAGAGAATGAAAGAACTCTGATCTTTCTGAAAAAGGGGAGGGCATCTACTGCAGGGTGAGCATCCAGGTCTTCTAAATCTGAAACTTCCAGAGTGATACTCCAAAATTTCAGATTTTGGAGCATTTCAGATCAGATAAGGTTATACTCATATATACGTATGAAGTGCCTGGATGATCAGGAATTGCTTTTAACTTGTGGGTTTATGTCTTTAAGGAACTCAAGACGACAACTTCCAAGTTTTCTTCCACAGTATCCGATACCAGATAGGCTGAAGAAATGTGTGGAACAAAAAATTGACATCCTAACCTTCCAGCCACTACTTGCAGAGGTAGGAAAAAGTGTCTGAGGACTCCAGGGACACTTACCTGTCATCATTCAGACTTCTCAAAAAAACAGGATTAACTCTTCTCAGGTTCAGATCTCACAGTGGTTCACCTTCACCACAAGTAGTTGGGAATTGCAAGATAACAAGTGAAAGACACCTTGGTGGATTCTCTCTTTGGAGATTAAGTACCCTGTAGGATCTACACCGGTCCAGAAGAAGGTCGGTGAGGAGGGAGGGGCCTCTGCTGTAGCCCAGCCTCTCCTCCCAGGGCCATGCAGCCTGGTTAGGAGCAGGAGGCTTTCCTCAAGGCAAAACCCCAGCACACCGGGGCAGGGAGGTCTGCTGTTGAGGAGCTGAGGAGATCTAGCACAGGACTGGCTGGCAGGAAGCATAACCCTCCCTGAAGTCTGAAGGTAGTACCTGGGTAGTGGCCCTCTATCTATAATCCCAGCACTGGAGAAGCTGAGACAGGAAGAACACAAATTCAAGGCCAGTCTGGACAACAAGGTGAAACCCTGTTCCTAGGGAGAAAAAAAACTAAGTCTGATGATAGTTAACTTTGCTGCAACTCTGCACAGTCTACACAGCCCACTGGGGTGCAGGAAGTCCGGGGAGATGCTCTGAGTGGAGTGGCTGCAGCAGGGAGGACAAGGAAGGAGAGAGGTTTTGATAACGCAGCACCAGAGGAGGTCTGCTCCCACTCCAGGGGAGATGTTGAGGTCAGTCATGTGAGGAGTGAGCGAGGCATCAGTGGGACTGAAGGACAGAGGCTGGAGGAGCAGAAGGAGGTGAGGCCTGGTGCTGGGGACGGAGCCAGCTGCAGGGCATAAGGGCCCACCTGAGTTTCTTGTGTCCATTCCACCTGTGAGAGAGGCGAGGTCCAGAGCACTGGCCTCCGGGGAGCCGCTTGCGTCTGCCTTTGGTTTCCTGAACTTTGCCTAGGTGTCTGCGCCGGGCTTCGTGAGAGGCGCTGCTCTTCAGGCTCTTTTCTCCAGCAGTGCCGGCTTCGGGCACTGGCTGCCTCGGGGGGCATTGCTCCCTCCGTGCCCTGCAGGAGTCGGTGTGGAAGTGGAGCCATCTCTCAAGTTTCACCAGGCTCTTCCAGGGCAGCCTCATATTTGAAACTCTCTTGGGACAGATTTTATTTTTTTGTTTATTTTTATGTATTTATTACGGAGTCTACAGGGTCTTACTATGTAGATCGGACTCATAGTGATTCTTCTGTTTTCAGCCTCCCAAGCGCTGGGATTACAGGTGCACGCCACCACACCCAGTCTCATTTGCTGTCTTAGCACACCTCAGACAAGGCCAGCACGGCACCCCAGGGATAGAACCCTGCCGCTGTGCTCTGCCTAAGCAGGCACTTTAGTCCGCTGAGCTATTTGGCTGGCCCTTGGATAGATTTTAAAATAGGAACTAGATTTCATTATAGCTATATATAGCAGCTCAGTTTTCCTGTTTATTTTTAAAATTTAAATTTATTTATTTGGGATAGGGTCTCACTACTCAGCTAGAGTCATAGTGATCCTCTTGTCTCAGCCGCCAGCTCTGGGATTACAGGCATGTGCCACCACACCCAGAGTTCTCAAGGGGCCCACATGGCGTGCAGCACCAGTGATCAAACTCAGGACCCTGCGCTTGCCAGGCCGGCACTTAGACTGCTGAGCTCTCTCCCCAGACCAGTTTTCCTCTTAATCATTGAACTGCAGTTTTTCACTGTAAACGTGTTCTTTTTAATTTGGATAATGTGTTTGCATACCATATTTATAATGCTGGAAGTGTGTGTGTGTTTATTTCATGGACCTGCCTAGTGGAAGTCTATAAATTTCTATCAGGTTTTTGGTTTTTTGTTTTTTTTTTTTTTTTTAAAGAACCAACTTCTGGCTTAATTGGTGCGTTTTCTCGCATTCCTTTTCCATTTCATTGGTATTCACTTCAGTTGTGTGTGTATTTGTGTGTTACTGGGGACTGAATCCAAAGTCTTCACACTGAGCTATAACAAGCTTTTTTGTTATAATAGTTGACACAAGGTCTTGCCCAGTCACTACACTGTCCTGACTGGCCTTGAACTTGTGATTGTGGTCCTGTGCCCCTGCCACCGAGCACTGCAATTATAGGTGCCCACCAACATGTCCAGCTCTGCTATGGAAAAGAGGAGACTGAAGTGCGTTTGTTTTGAGATCCCTTCTTTTCTGTAGCACTCTTTGTGCTAGAAAACATTCTCTAGGCACTAATTCTGCTTCATTCCACAAGCTTTAATTTATTGTATTCGTTTTCATGTAGTTCAAAATATTCTCTACTTTCTGATTTCTGGCCCGTACTCAAGTCTTTTTTAATATTATTTTGAGACATGGTCTTGCTAAGTTGCCAAGGCTAGCCCTGAACTTTGAATTCTCCTGTCTCAGCACACAGGGTAACTAGGATTATAGGTATTTACCACTGCACCTGGCTTTCCATAGTTGTTTAAAGTATGTTGGGTTTCTAAACGTTTTTGGGATTTTTCCATGTTGTGATTTATTTCTAGTTTTACATTATTGTGGTTATAGAACATACTTTGTACGACCTCAGTCCTTTGCATCTGTTGATGCTTCATGGTCTATAGTAACTGTCTTGGTAAATACTCTTTTTAGAATTACTTTATAAGCTGAGCATGGTAGTGCTGCCTGTAATCCCAGCACTGGGAGGCTGAGGCAGGAGGTCACTGTGAGTTCAAGGCCAGTCTGAACTCCGTAGTGAGACACTCTCAAAAACTTGTATATTTTTAAATGTCAGTAAGGCAAGTTGTGCGGGTAGAATTGCTGAGGTCTCCCATACCTCTGCTGCCTTTTCTTCTCGCTCTGCCAGTTCCCTGAGTCCTCTCCAAGCGCGCGCCCTCCTGCTCTGCCTATAGATCTGTCAGCCTTCATTTTTCACAGTGGAGCTCTGCAGTTAGGTGTCTACATGTTGGTGGCTCCAGCGTGTCATTTTGATTAGGTGATCCCCTTAGCAGTGTGAGAATGCATGGAAGTTTTATTCTTGGCTCTGAAATCTGCTTTGGTAATATCATAATTCCTGTAGCTTTCCTCTGATCAAGTTTGACATGGTAATACTATTATTTTTAATCTACTTGTATCTTTTGAGTTAGTGAGTTTGTTTGTTTCTTTCTTTCTTTTTCCTGTGGCCTGCTCAGCCTGCCCTGGGGGCAGGGTTGCGGCTGGTGGTGCTGGGGATCAAACTGTGGTCCGTGCGATGGCCTGAGCTTGCCTAGGCAGGTGCTTTAGGCCACTGGGCTATCTCGCTGGCCCCTCGAGTCAGTTTCATATAAGAAGCATCTGGTGGCCCCTGCCTTTGATCCACTGCACAAGCTGTGCCTTATATTGTGGTGTCCGATCACTTGCATTTTGTGTGACTATCACGACTGATACAGTGAGTTTAACTCTGTCAGCCTGCTATTTGTCATGTCTTTGTCCCTCTTTTCCTTTTTCTTTCTCTGCCTTTTTCCCTTTTTGTTCTTGGCTCCTAACTCCTGTTTTGTGGTGTGCATAGCTTCTGCGGTAGACCTGCGCATGGAACTTCTGTGGCAGTGGAGATGTTCTGTCTGGCTCTAACGTGCAGGCTACCAGCCACAGGGCACTAGCGCATCTCTGGACTGTGGCTGGTGTGGCTGAGGGACTAAGTCTTTCATTTTGCTTTACTTTCCATTAACTTTAGTGTAAATAACTACATGTAGAAAGAACAGCCTTAGAGCATCCAGTTCAACTCATCACAGCCCTCAGGAAGCACCATCCCATAGCACTGAAGAGCGGTCTGCATCGTGCTGCCGTGTCCCGACCTTTTGCTAGTATGGTTACATATTTGACCTACACATCCCTTTTGACATGTAGGTGAACTCCCCAATGTGCGCTCACCATTCTTGCTTTACATGCTTCTCTCTCAGTGTGTCCTAGAAGGTAAGTGCTTGCTGCTGACCCACAGTCACCATCCGGTGGTGGTCTCTGCTTCATGTGCATCCAGATCCCCATCCAGAATCCTTGCCCTGTAGGTGTGAAGGACCTAACGGTCTTATCATGCTTGCTTATGGATAATTTAGCCTTTTTAACAAAAAACCACGAACTTTCACTTGAGAGACAGTATGGTAATAATTGGTATGTCATGACAAGAAGTATGTATTTAGAAGACCAGAATGACAGGCATTCCCAGCGTGACCCTTCTGTTACACATTGCTGTCTTCAGTGCAGTTGCTTGGATCGCAGGTATCAGTATGCATAGTCAGTCACGGTGAGAAGCCTACCAGTTAACTGCTAGTTTCAACAACCTGCTGATGTTTCTCAGGGTCATTGCCTTACCCATCTCATGCATATAAATGTATGGCTTTGCTCCTGTCATGTTTCCCAGCTTTTCTCCTTGCCCTCTCCTCATTGACCAGTCCTCAAGTTCCCGCTTTCCTTTTAATTGTGTTATACCTTTCTATTTGCATTTCTTCTTTTGAGTTCTTATACTAGGGAGACTATATGATATTTACACGTGTGGATCTGGTTTATTTCACTTATGAGCATATCTTCAAGCGGCATCCACTTAAATATAAATGCTTCAAGTTTATCATTCTTTATAGCTGAGTAATACTCCATTGTATAAAAATACCACATCTTTTTCAACCATTCCTCATGTGACAAGCATCTTGGTTGTTTCCTTTTTTAAAAAAACCAGGGAAATTGAACTCAGGCTTTGAAAAAAAATCTTAATTTTTTTCTTCAGTGACATTGGCAAAGTTCTATTTCCTTAAAATATGTGGAGTACAACATGACAATATATAAACATTTAAAAAGTCATTGTTTGGTATTATTTTCTAGGATTTACTATATATTAGAAATTTTTATAATTTTAGAAAATAAAAAATAATAATTTTAGAAAATCAAAATGAACAGTTCTATCTTTAGCAGGTGGTTACTTGTTGCATTCACTTAGTTATTTTTTAGAACTGACTGTATGTGTTGAGTTAGGTTCTGACAGTTCCAAAGAAGTTA